GGTGACTCAACAAAGAGTTCGTGCACGCGACGCGTACTCTGAGACTTGTTGTAGAAAGAAGACCCATGGTTATGCAAATGATGACAGTTATAAAGCGGTAAACACATAAGAAAAAGCGATAAACAAATAACCAACAAAAATAGAAAATAAGACAAACAAACTAAATAAACAGAGCAAATAAAGAAAACAAACACCTCAACCGAATATCCTAAAAGCCAACAAGATCAGTATCACCTCGAACCTGCAAGTCCCCAGTAGAGTCGCTAGAGATATCGCACTCTTTTTTTCACAACCTCACCAACCCTCTTAAATATATAAAAAAGATTTGTAAAGCTCAAAAGGGTTTTTAATTAAAAAGTGACAAAATTATGTTCAAAAGGAAATAACTCAGAGTCGCCACCTGACATTGGTTTCGGTATGTCAGCTCACCGTTTTTATAAAAATAATTTTTCCTTTTTAAACACTTTGGACTCCAAAACTAAGTCTGCACCAGAGATTCGGGTAAGGGGGTTCATTTGACTCGAGGAGAAGGTATTAGGCACTTCCCATGTCTGGTAACTAATATGGTTGCATACTTGATCTAGTCGGCTTTTAAAATATTTAATTGAGGTAAAAACACAAAAACAAAATAAACACACAAGAGTCTAGAGGTTGTCCCCACCTAAAAAGATAAAAAAATAATATTAAAGTTATATTCTACGCTTCCTCACATCATCCAATCTCTGGCCTTCATTTACATGTACTTCAGGGCAGACCCCGAATAAAATATATACAAATTCTTCGGGGCATTCCTCGGATAAATTTAACTAAGGGAAAGACCTCTCGCCTCGATACTAACAAAAATCCTAAAGCTTGCCTACCTAAATGTTGCAGGCCTAAGCATGCTCCTAGCGACTTTAAAACAAATAAAGTTAAAACAACAAGAACTATTTTAAGGCCAGAATACTTTTAATTTTGTTTGCCCCAACTCCCACGACACATTCTACTTATTTGCACTCTTGCTATCTTTGATATAGATCTTATCAACAATAATATATAACCGAGAGAATTAATCCAAACTACAAAATTTCATATTCATGGCATCAAAGTACTTTGGATAACCAACAACAGATAACACATTCAATTTTGAATTCAAGTCATTGATAAGATCAGATAGTAAGCCAAAAGAGATTAGAGAAACGAAGTAATAGTCGGACCTTTTATTGAATTCGAAGCTGCAACTCAGAAGACAAAACGGAAAATGACCACAATCGGAACAGTAGACAGGGATACGGTGACCTCAACGGAACTGCAAATCGTTCGAACTTCTTTGCTCGATGACTGATGTTGGATCTGTTTTGGTATTTTTGGGCTGTTCTTTAGTAAACTTTCATGGAGTTTCAAGAGATGATTTCAATGGAGCTTTATGGACTGACTCTCCTCCCCTTTTTGTCCGTCCCCCTACTGCTCTATATGTGTGTGTGTGTGTTTTCTGTGGATGAGGCCCGGCTACTGCATGTGGAGCTGGTGAATGTTTGGGTGTGAGGTGAAGAAGCAGATGGTCGCTGATGAAAGGCATTTTCCGGCGAGCTGGATTGAGGCGAACGGGCTAGGGCAGCGGGTTTATGGTATCTCCAGCGCTGAGGAGTTCTTGAGGGGAAACGGCGACTGATTTCTAAGATGGAGCGGCAGATTTGAGATGAAAAAGTATGGCTGGCGGCGGCGGACGGCTGGCGAGGCTGGCTGCTGGTGTTGGGCGGCAGCTGAACTCTTATGGTGTTAGGGTTTTGTGGTGTAGTCTTGGTCCAAGAAGAAGAGGGGATGGTTGGGATTATTTCATCTAATAGGGCTAATGGGTTATGGGTTGGAGGGTAGTGGGTCAGGCGAGTTAGGCTAAGGAGTATTGGAATCAAGTGGAAGATCTGAATTGGGCCTATGAAAATTTATTCTTGTTGAACAAAAAGAGAAGGGAAAAAAATGAAAATCCTACAAACATATTAATAAATCTTAGTTAAGTAAATAAACTATTAAAACTATTTTTGGTATTTTCAAAGATTATATTAAAATAAAAAGTAAGGAAAAGTAGATTAAAAGTCATGGTAAAGCTAAATTAATATCACTGTAGAAGTGTTAATGATCTTTTACTAAAATGAAAAATATACTAAGATGAGAAATATTATAAATAAAACTATTTTTTGTATTTTCGACTTTTATGAAAAATAGATAAAATATCAATTAGTTAAATAAAAGAAAAATATTTTTGTAATTTTTATTTTTGTGATAAAATAAAAGTAAAGAGTCAAAACTAATTAAAATAGCGATATTAGATCTAAATTAAATATTTAAGCGCTAAAATGTATAAAATCTCGGGGAGAATCAAAATCACATGTCTACAGCTGAGTGTGTTGATCTTTATGAGAAGGTGGTGGCCCTGCATTTTTGTTTGCCAATCTCGGTAGCGTAATTTATTTTACGGAAAAAGGTCAAAGATGTCCCTCAATTATGTGAAATTGAGCAAAATTGTCCTTATAATTATGCTGGTTCCATACATGCGCTTATCATTAATGTATCAGTTCAGATTTATCCTTCAACTATGCGAAATAGAATAAATTTGTCATTTGTTTGACTTTAATCTCAAATATGTCTTTATCATAAAGGGACGAGCTCATATGTCTCTCAAATATTTAGAACAAAGAAAAGCAAAATATAACACTGCAATTTCTACGTACATCTTTTTTTGTTTGTTTTCATATTTGAAAGAAACATCTCCTATACTTTCGCCATTGATTCTTGTCAATCTCTTATTCTGTACATATTATAAAAATATAAATAAATGGCTAACTTTTGTAGTTCCATTCTTAGGTTCTCTAATCACATCGTCTAACTCCATTGACTTTGTATACCAATAACTACAAAGACAATCTTTTGATTTTTCGATTTAAGAAATCAATTAAATACTATGTATTATTTTGAAAAAAATCTTCATAATCAACTTTTATTGAAAATTTGATTTGATAACTGTTGGGAAGTGTGTCAAGATAATAGAAAGAAAAGGATATTTAAGAGAGAAAAGCAATAAATTGCACAAGACAAGACAAGACAAGATTTACGTGGTTCGGCAATTTTTGCCTACTCCACGGCCATACAAAGAATAATTCTTTATTAATTGAAGAGAAAAAGAAGAAGTTTTGGGATCATCTACAAATGAAAATGTAGACCCCTATTTATAGGCATTTGAATGCCCTACCGAGGTAAGCGCTTACATCATAAGAATGCCGATATAAGCGCTTACATCATAATAATGTCGAGGTAAGCGCTTACATCACAAGAATGTCGATGTAAGCGCTTACATCATATTTTTATCTCTTTTTTATTTTTCTTTCTTTTGTTTTGTCTACTTTCACATGCAATAATAGGTTTGGTCCTATCAATCTCCCCCTCAAACCTATGTTACATCAAGAAAGAAAAAAAAGATTTGCTATTCTCTGGTGGCGCCTTCACGCTATCAGTCTTGAAGGCTAACTGAGGCAGTGCACAACCTCAGTTTGTCAACACCGACAACTTTGGTCTACATGTCTGACGGGTTCTTTAATCCTGGTATATTCTGCAGGGAAAGAGTTCCTTCATTTATCAACTCTCGGATATGATGATACCTCAACTGGATATGCTTCGATCTTGCATGAAACACTGGATTCTTGGCAAGATGAATTGCACTCTGGCTATCGCTGAAAAGCTCACAATTGTCCTGCTCTTTACCTAGCTCTTTAAGAAAATTCTTGAGCCAAATCATCTCTTTTCCAACTTCTGAGATTGCCATATACTCTGCTTTAGTGGTAGATAGAGCAACATTTTTCTGAAGTCTGGACATCCAACTAACAGTAGTACCACCCAAGGTGAATACGTAGCCCGTGGTACTTTTTCGACTATCCAGATCGCCGCCTAAATTTGCATCAGCAAAACCTTGTAAGATAATATTACTCTTTTTAAAACAAACCTGAGGTGCCTTTGAGATATCGCAATATCCATTTTACACCTTCCCAATGCTCATTTCCTGGATCTGACATGTATCTACTGACAACTCCAACTGCATGGGCTATGTCAGGTCTAGTGCAAACCATAGCATATATCAAACTTCCTACTGTTGAAGCATACGGAACTTTGGACATGTACTTCCTTTCTTCATCTGTCTTAGGTGACTGGTCCTTTGATAGAGTTAGATGGCTTCCAAGTGGAGTGCTTCTGGTCTTTGCATCATAAAGACTGAACCTGCTTAGTACCTTCTGTATGTACTTTTCTTAAGACAAGTTTAAGGTTCCTTCCGACCTGTTTCTGCTAATCCTCATCCCAAGCATTTGCTTAGCGGGTCCTAAGTCTTTCATTTCAAACTCCTCCGCCAGTTGTTGCTTGACCAAATTGATCTCATTTATGCTAGATCCTGCAATTAGCATATCTTCAACGTACAACAGTAAAATAATATAGGATTCATCAAGATTTTTGATATAACAGCAATGGTCCATCTCACATCGTGTGAAACTATTTTTATGCATGAATCCATCAAATTTTTTGTACCATTGTCGGGGAGCTTGTTTCAAACCATATAAACTCTTCTTCAACTTACACACAAGGTTTTCTTTACCAGAAACTTGAAAACCTTCAGGTTACTTCATGTAGATGTCTTCTTCAAGGTCACCATGCAAGAAAGTTGTTTTAACATCTAGCTGCTCCAAATGCAAATTTTCTGTAGCTATGATACTTAGCACCAACCTGATAGTAGTTAATTTGACTACAGGAGAGTAGATCTCGGTGTAGTCAATTCCTTCCTTCTGCTGATGTAAGCACGTGATTTTTGCCCTATATGAGAATTACTCCCAAAAAATTCAAAATAACATGATTTTCCTTGGTGTGCAATTTTGTGATATTTTGTGATATTTTTGAATAATTATTTGTATTTTTCTTTGCATGTTTATTTGTTAAATTAATAAAAAATACAAAAATATATCGCATTTTGCATGTAGGATTTTTAATTCTACAATTGTTAGTAATTAAGTTTGTTTTACAAAAATTAAAAATTACAAAAATAGGCATTTTTGCATTTTTAGCATTTTATGTCCAAATATACAATTTTATGCTTAATTATTACTTAATTGTGCGTTAATTGTTATTGGGAGTTAATTTGCGCTTTTATAACCTAATTTAGTTTTAAATAATAATTTAAGTATTTTTATAATTTAGTTTTAGAAAATAAAAGAAGAAAAGAGAACAAAAATACAAAGAAAAATCGGATTGGGACACTTCTATAAATTTCAACCTCAGGCCCAAATAATTGCCCAATCTTCCCCATGACCCGGTCCATTCTAAACCGGGTCGACCCGGTCCGCCCCATAATTAAACCATCCGCCCAATCCCCTCCCATTTTTCATTTTTCTTGTTGAAACCCAAAAACAAAACCCTAAAACTAAAAAAACCTACCCGCCCCCCTCCATCTTCTTCTTCTCCATAACTAAAACTTCAAGCACACATCCATGGCAGCCCTTCTGCCTCCCCATCGACAACACACACACACACATCAACCACACACAAGCTCTACCACCCTCGCGTCCAAACGACCCCCCCTCATCCGCCATTAAAACCAAACAAGCATCTTCAAGCCTCGTCGACCATGACCACCTAACCATCGACCAACCCGTCACCACCAGTTGCTTCTGCTTGCTGCGTCGACCAGCCCACTGTTTGCTCCTTCTGTTGTTCGAAGCCCCGTCGCTGCTGCTTCGTCACGGCCAAGCTCGCGCAGCTGCTACTACTGTCACTACCCTCGTCGACTCGTTTCCATGGCTGAAAACAGGAGAGCAACCTCGTCCATGGCCGCCCTCTTCTGGGTTCATGCTTCCCGTTGCTTCTGCCTTCTACTTCATCTTCCCCATCCGAACGACCTCCGTTACTGCTTCGTCTTCGCGCGAACAACCGAACGCACCCCAGCTGCTTCTGTTTCGTGTCAACTGCGTGCCACTGTTTCGACGTACTTCTTAAAGTCGAGTTCGTCGTTGAGTTATTCGTTGAGTCCGGACAGACTTATTCCCATTCGAGGTTTGTCGAAATAGTCTGTACATATTTCGTTTCGATCCGGTTAGTAGTTTTAGAGTTTCATTTTGTCTGTATTTTGTTTTGATATTTTCGAATTTAAAATCGGTAAATGTTTGTTTTGTTCATGTCTATGGTTAGATATTTGATTTTTTGTTTTGTTCATGTTCATATGTTTTGTTAAATTAATTTTCAGATTTCAAATGGAAGTTTAATTAGTTGCTTTTCATGTTTATTTCATGTTTGTATTATTGTTTAGGTAAATATTTGTTAGTTTAATGTTTGTTAGATTCAAATTGAAATTTAATTAATTATCTCTTCAATTTGTTTCATGTGTTGTTATACATTTTTCAGAAATTATTAATGTTATTTGAATCGTTTGAATCCGTCATGTTTTGTTGTTTAAAAAATAGATTTAGTTCATGTTCATCTTTGTTTGAAGTTCAAGTTGAATCCAGTGATTTAATGTGAGTTTATGTTTGTTTTTGATTTGTTGATTTAGTTTGAATCATGTATTTTGTTGTTTCTTTGTTCATTCATTTTTTGTCTAAGTTAACCAGGATTGGTTCCCGATATGGTTAATTTACTTCCATTAATTTTGAGTTGTGTTGTTCATCATGTTCGTGTAATTTGTTGTTGAAGATTGTTGAGAAATTGGTCATCTTGACTATATTTTGGTTAAGTTATGATTAATTGATTGTTTAGAGCTGATGGGGTAGTTTGGTAAATTGCAATCCGTTCAGGGGTAAAATGGTAATTGCAATAAGGTCGGAGGGGTAGTTTGGTAATTGAACATTATTTTGATTCTTTATGTTAAGCATGGGGGACAAAATATAATGGGGTGGGGTTTTTGATATAC